GATTTTGCTTTCCCATAGGATTTTAATATGCTCTTTTTTTTCCCTCTCAGAATGGTTATAATCAAGTTTTTTTTTTTTTTTTTTTTTTTGAGCCATTCATATTTGGGTTCACATTCTCTTTGGTTGTCTGTGTTACCTGGGGAAACTGATTTATCCTCTCTGTGAGCCTCACTTTCCAAGTCTATAAAATAGGTTCTACAGCATTCAATGAGATAATTCACTGAAATGCTTGACTTTGTGTCAGGCATATAGTGCTCCATAAACTAATTCTGAGAGTGAGTCTCTAGTACTTTAAAGTATATTTTTATTAATGAGATGGGAACAGGGATGATATTTAAAGTGTATTCTTACAAGATCTCTAGTATAATGTTTAAAAGCATCTTCCGAACTGTACATAGCTGGTACATAGCTTCGAGTTGCATGACACACAAGGTCTAGTCTACCACCTCAGGCATCACCCGTGGAAGGAAAGAGCTTCATCACGTGGGCTCTGGTCCCAAGGCTCTCAGTAGCTGTCCTTAGATATAATAATTTAAATTTCTCCACAATAGTGGTTTGTGCACCAGTAGTCTGACTACCCCAGGATTCAACAGCCATTCTGTAAAGGGCAAGAAAGTACATAGTTTGGGCCTTGGGGACCACACAGTCTAAGCTCTGTCGCAGCTACTCAGCTCTGCCACAGCAGGGCAGAGGAGCCAGAGGTGAGATGTAAGGAATGGGGTCCTCTGTGTTTTGATAAAACTTTGTCAGTATACCCAGGCATTTGAATTTATATAGGTGTTACTAGTTACCAAAATTCTTTGGATTTTTTTCCATCCCTGCAAAACTGTTCTCATCTCATAGGTTGTGCAGAAGCAGGCAGGGAGCGGTCAGCTCCAGGCTGGGCTTTGCAACCCGGATCTCCACCTCAGATGCGGATGGTTCCTGAGAAAGGGAGGCATAAAACTGCCTCCTTAGGGTTCTTCCAGAACATTCTCTGAGCATTGCCTCCTATCTCATCAGGTTCAAAGGCCTTAGCAAGTGTAGATGGTGTTCTTAATGCGATCACTTTCTTTTTTTTTTTTTTT